TATTGTTGTGAAACTGATGCAACACAAGTCACTGACGTTCTTCAGCTTCTGCCCAAAATAAAAAGGGTTTGTTAAAAGGGGAACAGATCGTACACAGCAAACGGACACAGCAACGCTAACTCTCTGGGTCTAAGGCACTCGTTGGTCGTTAAGGTTTTAAAAACCAACACCACGTCATTTACCTTTTACTTTGTTTAAGCTGCAAAATGTAGAAGATATTTTGGGGTTTGTTTTTTTGGTTGTTTTTTTTTGGGTGACAAACAGGTAAACAGCAAATTCACTTTTGTTAAACTTTGTCCCGCCGTCTTCAGGCTGTCAAACTGAGACGCTCCGTGTTTGGTCTAAAATAAAACCCAACACTCGTGTCAAACGGCCTACATTCACAGACATCCGCCCATGATTTTCCACCCTGTCGTCTATACCATCCTTCGCCTTTCTTCATACATCCCTTCACCTCCACCACCAGGAGATAACGCTCACCTTTAACACCACATTTCAATTCCTCTACATTTTCTCATCACACCAGAGTCGACATCATATTTGCATAGATAATTTGTCGGAGTTCAATACTATTTTTTTTCTCTCCCTTTCTATGTAAGTTTTTTAAAAAACCCTAGTGCTCACTAATAGCAGTTTACTACATGAGGAGACGAGTGAGTGTGAGACCAGAGCAGGAGACACACACACACATGTCTGAGCTCCTTCAGCGCTGTAACATAAAAGTGGGAGAAATGTGGGGCCAGAAATGGTTTTGGTGTGGGTCCTCCTACAGACTACATCAGCATCCTAAAAATAACATTTGCTACACATGTTTTCTTTTTATTGTAAGAAACTAAACTCTGGAGTAAGTTATTGTGTGAAAGCTGATAGACGTTTACAAGTCCAGCATGGAGAAGCAGAGGAGGAGGAGCAGCAGGAGGAGGAGGAGGAGGAGGAAGAGGAGGAGGAGGAGAAGTTCTGCGAGCTATAAAGTGAGTAAATCTTCGGGGCTTAGCTGCCCTGTGTGAGGCTCTGCATGTGTTTGGCAATGTCGTACACGTAGGTGATGTCCGGCCTCTTCTCGGGGTCGGGGTTGATGCACATATCTACCAAGTTCCTCAGCTGTTGACAGGGATCAGAGGGGAGTTGGTGGGGGGGGAAATAAGGACGTTATTGAAACTGCATCACAATCAGACATATTGTAGAAATAATAAAAAAATAAAAAGTAAACCAGATACTTTTAGTAAATGCAGTACAACCGGTTTGTTACTGCATGTCAATGTGTACTGTCTTTTTGAAGTGCTCAGAATATCACTGCAAGAGCTCTGCAACATTAACAACACCACTGTGCTGGTTTAACTAACAGTAAATACTAATTATAAGCCTCTGCAACATTAACAAGTTGTAATTAACTAACAGTAAATACTAATTATAAGATTCGGCCTCTCTACGCATTAGTTGCTTGAGACTCGTGGTGCTCAAAATGTGGTACCAGGTCCACTGGTGGTACCCGGGGAAATTTGAAAATATAATTTTGTGTGTTACTTTCTTGTATGTCTGTATAATTGGGCAAATAATTTAATTAGATTCTAAAATCAACAGGTTCATGTCACGTTATACTTGCAATGATATGTTGAGCAAATAAAAAAAAAAAACCTTAAAAATCTATATTGGACCAAAGTTTGGTCCTGTTGACAAACAACAGCTGTAATGGTTGAAAACGGCTGCATTTTTATTCCGACACAGATCTGCTTATATATTTTTTTGGTCTCTGAATAATTCACTTCCATGAAAGGAATAATGAACCAACAGGTAAGTGAGCTGAGACAAAGAGCCTCAGTTACTGCACTAATCACTTTCTGGTCTGCTGAATACACTCCTCTACCCCGGCCTTCTCACACTCACACACACACACACACACAGCTGCCACTCAACTGCCATGCAGAGACAGCACTTACACTGAAGCTGAGCAGGGCGGATGATTGGAGCAGATAGATAGACAGGCTTGCAGGCGGAACAGCCACCGCCATCATTAAAAAAAGAAGAGTATAAAAGATGGAGAGGAAGAGGGAAAAAAAAAAAAAAACATAAATTCTACGCCAGGTCGCTATGGTAACCGTCCACTGACGGCCGCTGTTGCATGGCACCAGCTTGGATGGCTTCTCGTCAGCCTATATCTATGTGTGTGTGTGTGTGTGCGGTAAGTGAGAAAGTGAGAGAAAGATGCAAATTCAGACAGTCTGAGAATTAGTCCCACAGAATGGCAGTGGCGGTGGGGGTGGGGGTGGGGGTGGTGCTTAGAGGTGGGGTGGCGGGGCAGATATGTAAAATATTCATGTGCTTCTTTGCATGGAGAGTGGGGTGGGGGAGTGTCAGGTGGAGAGGGGGGGGAGTGGGAGCTGGTGAAGGGAGGCATGGGGGGGGGCAGATACGGAGATGGTTAAATGACACAACAAAGATGAGCAGCTGACAGTTTGCTGCCGATCCTTCAGGAGCATTGTTTACATCCAGACAGGCGCTGCAGGCTCCCCCCTCATCTCCATCTCTCCATCGCCCTGTCTCCCGCTCTATCATTCCCTCTCTCCTTCGCTTTGTCTCCCTTTCTCCTGGATGGGGGTGACATGTGGGGCAACACAGCGGCTCACTGTGGTGTGCGTGCAAGTGTGTGTTTGTGTGTGAGAGAGAGAGAGAGAGAGAGAGAGGAGGGATATACAGCAACAAATACAAACTTGCACACCATCTCTTGCATATACAAAAACACAGAGACACAGACAAAAGGGTGACAAACAACCTGCACTTAGGCCGGATCAGCCTAATGAAAAAAATACTGCAATATTTAACAGGCACAAACACGTAAACAACAACAGAACCCTGAAGTGGAACGTGGCCCGACTGTGAGGTTGTTCTGTCAGAACACTGATTGGCCGTTTGTCCAGCGAGCTCTCTGGACAGTCACTGACTGACCAACCATCAGGTCTTCAGGATGAAGAGAGAAAACTGGTTTTCAGAAGATAAAATATATTGACGGGCAACTCGAGGAGTTGACCAGATGATTGACGTTACACCACAACATAATAATGAAGAGCTAACGTCAGTAGATAACCAATAAAAAAACAATCCAGCTCTACAGAGCCTGAGACACATGAATATATATATATATGTATATATACATACATTTCATACATATATACACATAAATATATGTATACATACATATTCATATATACATATATACATACACACATATATATATTATATTCAAATGCAATTTAAGGCTTTTTTCTGAAACCTGTCGTAGATGAACCCGGCTCTCTGCTGCCCCCTTGTCCAGGCTAAACGGTTGCAGCAACTAGTCTCATATTTGGTCCACGACCCATATTTTTGTTTTTATTATAACAAACGCTGTGACCCCTGCAGTTAAATGTTATTAAGAATGAGCTTCTGGTTCACAAAATTTGCTTCAATTTTTTTTTTTTAAAGTGCAAAGGTAAACACTTTGCCTAAAACGTTTGCACAGCGCTCTATTTTATTATATACTTATATAATCAAACACAGGCACTTTTTTTTTTTTTTTTGGACACAGATTTTCTCACAGAGCAAACAATCAGTGTTAAACCAGAGCTTCCAGCTCGTGTGCATGTGTTTATGGGTTTGCTCCACGTTTTATATTTAAAGGAAAAAGACAGAGCAGCGAAAAGAGAGCCATGCACTCAAACGGAACCTGCAACACAAAGCCACGCACATCCATACACATGTCACAGCCAATCAGCAATGAGACAATGTTTAACTACAGCCAGACTACAGGACCTTTTTTTTTTTCTCTCGCATGAAAAAGTCTCCACAGAATTACAGCAGATGATTTAACGTTTAGTTAGTGAAACACGACACCCGGGCCCGTTTGGTCTGACCCCTCACTGTAGCACAGACCACATGCTTTTCATATGTGCGTTTAATTTACAAGCGGCTTAAAATCATAGCTGCTCTTTTGATCACTAACTTACATCGTGTCTCAGACAGTTGGGAGGATTGCACTGGCTAAACAGTCAGTGAAGGTAAAAATCAGTGCAACCGCTAAGCAAAATAAACAACAACATGTGTTTCCTGAGAGAGTCAATTAAACTTTGTTCTTTTTTTTTTTTTTTTTTTTTCTCCTTGGAAAAAAGACTTAACACGAGATATTTCAAACCACAGAGCAGGTCCAACGTGACTCCATGCAGTAGCTGCTGAAGGCAACCTCCTCTGACAGTACTCACCTCCTCTGAGTAGTGATCTGAGGGGAGGGGGGGGTAGTCGCACTGTTCTATCTTCTTACAAAGGGAGTATAGGTTCATCTTGTCCCCATAGAAGGGGCTCTGTAGGGCTGCCATCTGTGAAACAGACACAAGACCAGAAGACGGATCATGAAAAGACGGGATGGAAACATCAACAACAAAAACAAACATCAACAGCAGATACACATCAGAACGCACTAGGAGAAACCAAGGGTTAAATGACAGCTGGTGGTGATAACCACTGATAACTACTGATAACCTCTGATAACCACTGATAACCACTGATAACCTCCGATAACCTCCGATAACCTTCGATAACCACTGATAACCTCTGATAACCTCTGATAACCACTGATAACCACTGATAACCACTGATAACCTTCAGTTCTCCAGGACGGACGGACGTCTGACATTTGTGCCATAATCGCAGCAGTTTTCAGATTTTTCCTCCATTTCTTTGTAATCAAGTCAGCGATGGACTGAAATTCAATTGAAAATTGAATTTGCTAAAAAAAAAAAAAACAAATTCCATGTGTTTCCTATGTGTAGTTTTTTTTTTCCTGTCTCCTGAGAGGAGCATGACTTCCAAAAAGTCTGCAAGACGAAAATGAGAGGAAACCACAAAATAAAGAAAAGTAAGAGGAGAAGGGACATTTCTGTTTGTTGGAGCAGCTAGGAAAAAATTCATCCTCTAGTGATTACAGGCAAAACAAAGGGACGGAACCAGAAAAGACAAAAAAAAAAAAAAAGAGAGGGGGGAACAAAGAGTCATCAGCTGTGTAGTGAAAATAGGGAGACAACCACGCCACGGCAGTGGTCCAAATCCCATTTTTGACCATATGTTGACCACATCTGATTATTATACGACAGTGTGAGCAGAACAAATCAGATTTTTCATGATTCGACCCAGGCCATTCTCACATGTGGCCCGAGATCGGACACGTTTTCAATGTTTTTAAGAGTGACCTCTGACTTGGCGGTCACATGGGGGGCTGGGGGACAAGATTGTGGTCCACCTGGACAGTGGTCTGTGACAGCTCAGGTCTACAGGACAGCTGGGTCTCTGATTGGTCTCTGATCCGACACCCCAATCTAACAAACAAATAAATGAAGTAATTAAGTAATAAAGATTAATGAAGAGATGAGTTGTTAAAACACCTGCCGTTATATCAATAAGGTCAGTGTTTTTTTTGACTCAATCCCCAGTTTATAAATTATATCAATAAGGTCAGTGGTGTTTTTTTGACTCAATCCCCAGTTTATAATGTTATTTTAAATTCTAATAAATGTCGGGACAGTGGAGCAGATAAGACAGAGGAGATGTTTCAGCCTGTGGACGATCTCATTCATTTACAACTACAATTTTTAAAATATGGCTGTGGCTCAGCGGGCACCGAGTTAAATTTGGCCGAGGTTCAAGTACAGCTGTGTACGTCGGTGGGCACAATACTTAACCCCAGGTAGAACATTGCACCGCAGCCATTTATCAGGACCGGCATCTGGCATAGAAAGCGTGTCAGTACCTCCTCGGTGGAACAGCCCAGAAAAAATGGAGCGTGCAGAAAGAACACGATCCAAACACTAGACCTGTATTTTTGGGGCATAAAAAGACTTTGTACCAGGTGTTTAACCAACACTGTACGTTCAGTCTGTATTTCAGCTTTAGGTCGTGACCTGTTCAAGGGAATTTGAGGGATTAATTCTTAATTTTCCGAGGGTTTCATACAGTTCTATCTGTTGAAAGTTTGTTTCTGACAACATTAGACACGTGTTTTCTACATTTTACCAACTTCCACAACGTACGCATTTGCGTCAAAGACGCTCGGTCCAAACTACCTGTAGGGTTGAGTGCGAGTGTCTACATCAGTTTCACTACACCTCAGCTTGAATGTGACCTTGATTAGTTTTTTTTTTTTTTTTACACTTGTGATGTGTTAATTTATTACAGTGAGTTGGTGGCAAACTGGAACCAGGCGCTTCAGACAAAGAAAACAGTCAAACGAAGATATCAAAGTGTGTACATGAAATTTGGTTATTTATTCCCCCCCGCCCCTTATATTTTTAAATATGTGTTTGACAGGCTGCAAACTGCCGGTGTGAAAGTAGACGAGAAAAGTGTCTCCACTCATGGATCCAGATGGAAACGTTCCCTACAGAAAGAAACCGCAGCCTGGTGTGAATGTACGTCGTCTGCACAACGCAACCCAACAAAACACGTTACAGGATGTGTGAACAGGACAGTGAGGGACAATCGTTCACGGCAGGAGCTTCCTTCTACGGCTACGGTAGAGAAGCAGCACCGAGTGTGTGAATATTTTACAGACAGCGTTTACTTTTAGAAATGTATAATTTCTGGGCTAGCAGCGTTTACCGTTTGCCTTCTTTTAGAAATGTATAATTTCTGGGCTACGAAAAAATACACATTTGGCTGAGTTTCAATATCACATTGAGAATCTACTTTTTTTTTTATAAACTTGAGTGCATTTGTCACGTCCTGATTCATGAGTACCCAGAACTATGGTCGATTTAGATGGACCCTCAGTAGTTCCCAAACAAAGGGGCGTGGACCATACTGCAGCGATGATACAATAAGGCAAATTAATTTCACTCTCAACATTTTCTTTATTTGTGTGAAACTGACCTTAATTTCAATATAACTGCCTTTGTTCAGTTGAGAAATTGTTTCAAAAAAGTTTAGCAATGATAGAGATCGAGATGGTTGGAATCACTGCTGTAAGGCAACAGCGCTCACCACCATCCACTGTGCGGCCCTACACCACTGATTGCTAAAATGCTGTCTCTTTATTAATGACCGAGCCAGTGGTTAGTACAACATAAATCCCTGAGGAAAACAGATTTAAGTTTTCCTTGTTTTTTTACCTTAGGGGAGTGCACTAATGCCACCTAGTGGAGACATGTTTTTTCCAGTGTCACAGTTATTTGTGAAAGAAATGGTAAACAAATGAGGAGATTTCACCAGAGCTAAACTTGGCCTCCACTAAAATGACAGAGGAATTTATTCTAATAATAAGAATAACAATTATTCAATAGAATTTCTCCAGAAAAACTCCAGAAACAGTCACCAATAACACGTCTGCTGATTTCTCCAGGGAATAATTGCAGGGAGTTGTTATTGGAGTTATCTATTTTTGTAGCCATGATGGAAACCTTTTGACACTTACCAAAAAAAGTGCTGTTGAAGTCAGACCAATTTAAAGTCATTTCTTCAATTTCCCATCCCTACAGAAAGATGTGTCAAGCTTTGATGGTGCAGAAAGAGAAAAGTTTGACAGTTTGCCCCTACGTATGTCACAGCCTCCAGTGGGCAGTGAGGTCCGGGCAACATTCATCACCCCTCACTAATTTCATCCATTAATCAAAGCCTTCCGATGAATACATGAAGATGAAGACCAAATATGAAATGATCTCCCTCCCTCCCTCCCTCCCTCCCTCTTCCTGTGGACAGCTCTGCCCCTCTGCTCTGGTAATTGCCACTGAGACTGGGCCCAGCAGGAGTGTGACAGTGATGAGTTGTGTTTGGAGACGTCTGACACTGTCAGCAGTATTGCCCCTTCATTAGTAACAAAACCTCTTACTGTTCCCGTTTCCTTAAAGTTCAGATTGTAATGTATGATGATGGGGAAAACAGCCATTATTCACACACATGAACGCACCGTCCTTTCAAAATCTATATACTCGGGTAGTACACGTAACAGTAGGGGGCGTATCTCTAAACTGACTTCTCCCAATGTTCCACCAAGAATCATGATATCTTCATAATTTACTGTATATTTTTTAAAATACATTTACCAACACCAAAAAACCATCTGATAATTCCTGACTGGAATGGAACTGCACGGAAAAAAATCTGCTACAAATTCTCTCCTGAACTGCTACTTCATGTGCAGTTTCTACAGTTTTATTTTATACACAAAATAATTAGATTATTCTTCAGCTTATTCCGTTCCAGGGTCATGGGGGGGGGTGGGGGGGGGGCAATACCAGCTGTCAACAGGTGAGGGCAGTTCAGCCCTTGGACAGTTAGTGATAATGTGTGAAGACTACAAGAGAGTGGATGCAGCTACAGACGTATAATTAAAGCTCAGATTAAACCGTACTCCAAACGATTCTTCTTCAACAAGAAAAAAAGAAAAAAACGAAGTAAAGTATAAACAATAAAACAGTGATCATCAACTGGAGGCATGCGGGCAACATCAGGCACGCCAAACCATCTAATTCGGCCCATGACTATGAATATAAAATGTGTTCAATTTTGTAAAAAAAAAAAAAATTTAATAATATATAAAATGGGTGATTTTTATTTTAATTCATTATTCATTATCTGATCTATTATCTATCATTCATTCGTTATCTGAGTGTCTGGCCCCCAAGGTCTCTGTCCAGGGGTGACCCCTGGTGTGACCCCTGGTGTAGACTATAATAAGATGTTTGTTTAATTTTTTTTTTTTTACACATACACGGTCTAACGGCGTACCTTTCTGTGTGACGGACAGTTAGCACTTCTCCATAACTCACCTCCGTGAGTAGGTAAGAAAAAGAGAGGCGGGACAGGAACACACACACACACACACACACACACACACACAGGCTGCCTTCTACACACACCAGGAGGCGAAGGGTTAAACAAGAGCCCGTCGTATTTTCATGCATCTTCTCCTTTTGACAGATGAAAAATGTCAACTGTCCTGTTTGTATTTGGGAGTTTTTGCACTATTCATCTGCTTCATTAGTGCCTGCTGCTCCCAGCCCCTGACAGCTGCGGGCCCCGTGCTCTCTCACACACACACACACACACACACACAGACATGAAAATGCAGGCCCACACACACACACACACCTACTCCATTTTCAGACTGTGTCATCGCAGGGTTAGATGATTGACTCACTCTCTGACCTCTACATCCCTGGTGTGTCGATGTGAATGTGTGTGTGTGTGTGTGTGTGTGTGTGTGTGTGGTTCATTGATATTCGAAAGACATACAATGCACACGCATGCCTGCTGTCTGCTTAGGGGTGTGAGCTGCTGGTGGCAAAAAAAAAAAAAACACACACCCACACCCACACCCTTACTGAGAGATGAATGAAAACACACACGCAAACAATCTGTTTTTGTGTGTTTTTGTGTGGACTTCACATGGACATAATTGATTCAATAGCACCTTGACCTAATAATTACAAGTATATGTGTACGCTCAATAATCAACTCAGGTTTTATACCTCTTCAAATCTCAACTAAAGCCCCCTCTCTCTCAGTGGGGGGGGGGCATTAAAATGCCCCAATAATAATGGTATTTTTTTAATGGTTCCCACAAGTATATCTGTACCAGGAACACACACACACACACACTCCTTTGTTCCCCAGGTCCTCCTCAGCTGGCCCAGTGCTGCCCTCCTCAGACCATCCATGCACTTTGGAGCCAGAATCACTGCCCATGTACAAGGAATACACACAAACACACACACACACACACACACACGTGTGTGTACGTGTGTGTTCACACACACAATTAACAGTGATCCAGTTCACTCTCTCCAGTCTCTCTCCCTGTGCACCAATTAAAACAAGGAGCTGAGAGAAGCTCCCGTCCTCTCCCTCTGCCCCCCCCCACCCCCCCCCCCCCCCCCCCACACCCCCCCCCAACCTTTATCCCTAGAGCTCCTAAAGCCTGGGACCAAAGGGCTTCTCACAAGTTCTCTCTCACTTAATTATGAATACACATAGAATTACCAGCATCCGCCACATCAAAATAAACACCTAAATGCTAACACACACACACACACACACACGCATACAAGACAGGCTCGTACTTCACCTCTTTACCTCCCCGTCCTTTTAAAACACTCTCTTTATTCCAAGTACACACGTAAACACGAGCGCAGAGAGTCAGAAAAACATGACTTTTTTATGTTCTCGTCGGCCCTTCATGTGGCTTTTGTGATGATATATTAATCAAGGCAATAAGTCAGCGAGCAGAGACAGTCATTAAAAATATACCTCGAGTACACCCAGTGGAGTCATTACGTCGCCGCTTCAACACAATAAAAAAGAGAAGAACAGACACGGGAGTTGAAAGAGCGCCACACAGTTCCACGGGAAAAAGACAAAGACTCCACGACCTTGTGCTCCGTCTTAAACTCACTGTCGGGATTTGAACTGTGGAAGATGAAGAGCTTTCAGTATTTTCTGGCAGACTTTGTGAGTCTAAATGATCAAAATGTCATAATGTATGTAAAATACAAAGGAGTTACAAGTGGAGTTGGGGAAATCTCTGAACCAACTCAACATATATTCATGTGCCTCGATTCATTTCTAGAAAGACTGAGGTCTTGTTAGTCCAATGGCTGTGAGGACGGTTGAGCCGTTGTGATAGACCAGGATTGAAAAAAAGTTTCTTCAACAGCATTTTAAATCCAAATATATGATGCTTATATGCTTTTACGTTCCCTTGCCATTTCAGGAGGTCCTCGGTTTACGACTTCCTCGATGACTTGGTCTTTCCTCTGATCAACGGCGTTAGAACGACTTTTGATCGACTATGTCGTCAAGCGGTCCCTACATAGAGGTTTATAAAGAAGATATTGGTCTTTCCTCTGATTTACGGCGTTAGAACGACTTTTGGTCAAATATGTCGTCAAGCGGTCCCTACATAGAGAAAAGACGACTTTGTTGATATTCACTGGCTGTACTCCACAGAACAGGTTGTGCTACATTCACTGCCTTTCATTTGCGTTGTTTTTTTTGGGTTGAATCCATCTTCAAAACAGAAACACCAAAACTAAGAGCATCCTCTAACCACTGCCCACACACCTACAGATTTACTTTTAAATGTTAGAGAGAAAACCACAGTAAAGTCAAGTAAAAGCCAACTGCTGGGAACTCGACTCTTTGGAGACTCATAAACCAAACAGCGAGACACGAGGCGGACGGACAGGAATGAAACAGGAAGTGAAGGACGGGACATGGACGCAGTAAAAGGAACGGAAGTCTGAGCTCCGTACAGGATGGAGATACGGTTCTATGAAGCTCCTCCACCAACCTTTGTACAACCACAACACATGCATGGTTCTGTGTGTGGGGGGTGAGAACCTGTCGATGTAAAGTTGTTCTGATGTTGAGCCGAAAACAGAAAGAGAGCGAGAGAGAGAGAGAGAGAGCCCAGAGACTGAGGTCTTATTGACTGACGTGTGACTAAACTCCAATATTTTCTAGGTCAGAATAAGAGATGACCCTGACGGGAGCGCCGTCCCTCGTCACCTTGGTGAGAACGTTTAGGTGAGGGAGCACAGGGCAGGGTCAGGTGATGTAATGAGGTCAGACAGGAAGAGAGAAGATCAAACAGAATAGAAGATGAAGACGGACGCTGATACGATGACCAGATATTGACAGACGGACCCTTCGGACCTTCGCCCAACCCTGGGGCTCAAGAATGAGAAATGCAGGCCTCACTCAAATGGAGCTGTTTCACACATAAGGAGTCCAACTCTCTTGGATACAAACACTAACACACACACACTCAAAAAAAAAAAAAACCTAAGCTCCTTCTGTATGTCCAGAGTGAAATCAATGAGCACCAGAGAGATCAGGGAAGGATTTCTATGTGAATTTCTGATGCCTGAAGGTTAAGTGAGGGAAGGAAAAAGAACACAGAGGGAAAACCAGCAGAGGGGAGGAGAACAGAGCAGAGAAGAACGAGGAGGAGACGGTTCGGGAGAGAAGGAGGCAGGTTTCCTGACACCCAACGTACAGCAGAGCCCTTTCACCAAAAAAAAAAAAGATGGCGAAACAAGGGTCTGTTCTTCAAAGAGAATATGCATGAGGCAGTGGGCTCTCCTCTGGTAACAATAAGGCTGTAAAATCTTCATCTCCACAGGCTCATGCATGGCTCACCTTGACCTGATGGTTGGAGATCTGTCTGTGCTCCTGTACCCACAGTAAGTCCTCTGTCAGAGTGCACCCCCCCCCCCCCCCNNNNATAACCCCGCTCTCACCATTTGTTGTTCTGCTCTTCCACCCCTCCCTCTCCGCTCCCCCTCTGTCCGACCGTCCATCTCTTCTCTCTGTACGCTCTCTCTCTCACGACCTGAACCGCCCCTGCCCTCACCCCTCTCTTTTACCTTCCTATACTGGTCTTATGCATTTATGTGCCTTTTCATCTTTAGTCTCAGTCTTTTGACGACCCTTTGGGAATTAAAGGTCTCCTCAACTTTTTTTTTCTTCCTATTGCTCTCCAGGTTTTCTTAACTGTACCTCAGCATCGCATTTTTTTTTCTATATAAAACTGTCAAAGAAAAAAAAAGCATTGAACCCAGGCTGAAATGGTGAAGTATAGTATTTCCTCAAACAAAAAATATAGAATAAAAAATAAAAGATCTCCAATGTTTTAAATGGTCAAAAGGTTCAGTAGGGATTTTTGTTGTTGTTTTTTCCAGTATTTTTAATAGTTGCGACCACACAATATTCTCGTTGTATCTCAATTTAGGAAATCCAGTCGTTCACAGCATTAGAAAGTAGAATGAAAACAATTTTCTAAAATCAAATTTATCACAGAGGAGCTGTGGATTAATCCCAGTTATTCATAATAAATAAAAAAAAGTCAACACACATATAGTTCAGGTAGATGGACATGTTTGACACCTTTAAGTTGCCACCTGTATTTTTTTTTCTAATTAATTATAAAACCATTAATATTGCAATTTTACTATATCAAAGTAAAAACTACTACAACTTTTCACATAAAAATATTTGAAGTCACAAAAAGTGCACCGGTTCTAACAAAATAACCTGCGTGAAATCAGTTTTAATGAAGAGTAAAAGTAGCAACTTCTGTCCACCACACATTAAAAATCCAAAAACAGAACATGACCTGCAGCACCCTGTGCTCTCAGCCAGCCACAATGCATTGTGGGGAACTAATTAGCATGAAGGACTGTGGTCTCTGAGCAACCATGACCTACAAGTTGAGCTCAAACTTCTGCCTGGTGTTATCAGCACCTCTTTGCCTGAGGCGCTGTAGAGCGCCTGCACTCACCGGTGCGTTGAAATGCAGCCCCAGTGATCAGCAGCTCAGGGGAGTCGGGAGAGAGAGAGAGACGTAGGGGGAGAGGAGGGAGAAAAAAAAAAAAAAAAAAAAAAGGTGGGTGTTTCCTTGGCCGAGAGTGTGCCTTTGAATTTGTGCTTGTCTGTTTGTATTCAGCTCATGTGACGGCTGGCAAGGTGAAAAATCAGATTGACTGCTATCATCCGTGTCCATCATTATTCTGCCCCTCGCTCGTCTGCCTTTGTTCCCTGCGCTGTGTTCTCCTCCCGGGGCTTGTCTCTATTCGGTGTGGTCCACAGCCCTGTGGTGTTTCACTCCCCACTAATCAAACTAGTCAGTGTCACTGGGCCGCCTCATCTAAAACACATGGTCATGTCAGTTCCCTTCACTCAACAGCTTTTCAACGTTTAGCAGGTTCCTCCACAAAAGAACTTTAATTCAAAGTCTCTCGTGGCCTTGGCGGGGACAAGAGTGGGACCCATGGAGGAATACAGTGGAGGAAAAGTAAAGAAGAAATCTTTTCCAGGTGATATTTTTAGCTTTGTACAAGTCAATAAAGCGTGCATCAATTTTGTTTGCATGACTTAAGAAGATCATTGTTTGTGCAGAGTCAGAGGGAAAGCACCAACATTTCTTACAATTCTCTGTAACATGTGGGTCTGAGGATGGTTTGTTTGTTTGTTTGTTTGTTTACATGTGTGTCTGGGCCAATGTGTTCTCGTGTCACTCCTGCAGTCGACTGCAGGGTGACAGTGTGTGTGTGTGTGTGTGTGCACACATTCCCAAAGTTTACCTCATACAGCAGGCATCCTAGCGACCAGATGTCAGACTTGAAGTTGTATCCGTTTTCATGTATCCTCTCTGGTGACATGTAGTAAGGAGTACCCACTGGAACACAGGCAAAGGGGAGAGGGAGGAGAGGAGGGTGAGGGCGGGGGTCGAGGAGGAGGAGGAGGAGGAGAGGGGAGAGACAGACAGATGCAGGAAGGGAGAACAAGACAAAAAGAGAGCGTGAGTGTTAACATTTTGCAATGCAAACCCCTGCTTCCCAACGGTTCATCAGCACCACTGACACAGCTCACACAGTACAGAGGAACGGGGTGAGGAACAGAGGTGTCGAATGTGTCACACTGACACATTCTGAGGCTGCAGTGCTCAACATGTTTTTTAAAAAAAGAACAAAAAAAAAAAAGGAAAGAAGAAAAAAGGACAGAGACTTCAGAGTGGATGCCGACCTTAATTTGACCATGACGACCTTTAACAAGTTTGGATATCATCACGTGCACCAATACGGTGCATGCAATTGCAAAAGTACCGCAAAGTTACGTACATGTGTACAGCAGACATACTGGCACACACAAACTACACATAAATCACTTCTGATTACTCAGACTCGGTAATGATCTGAAACAGTAGTCGGTAAATATGCGCAGGCAACACTGGCGGAGCCTGGAAGGTTGGCCAGCTCCTGGCTCTGCTCGTGAAATTCAAGAATCCCAACCTGCCATAGCGACTGGCCGAGCTCCAGAGAATCAGATCGTCAGGAACCTCAGCGCGACGCTACGTCCACGACACACCGCAGAAAGCTTTGGAGATTTGCTGCTTTCTTTGCTAATTGTGACGCGATGCTTTCGTCGTTCTGCTTTCTGTTTGGGGGAATTTCTACATGTAAAAGTCGAAGGAGAAAATCAAGCTGGGTTTTTTTTTTTTTTTACATTAATCGCATATGTTTGAAGAATGGAGAATGTTTTTTTTTTTTACCCGTCTTTTCACGCAAAGTTTAAATCTGTGCGATGGCCTGAAGCAAACATGCGTATTAAAGGCTTACCTAAATACAGAGAAAGTCACACAGAGCGCGCTGGATTAGGACTTTCATCAGTGACATTGATGAATACGACTAAACGCGTCTCTATGTGTGTGTATCTTAAAGAAGCTTTACGTGTCAGAATAATCCACATCGTCCCGTTCTCCTGGGTGTTGTTGCCATCTATTTATATTCCTACTGGGCGATTCTTCCTGAGTTCAAAGTGGGATTCCTACATAAAACAGACCCCAACGCTGTGTAATAAATTCTACTGAATTTGATTATGGTCTGCTTTTCTGAAAAGCCGTGCGAACGGCGTTCCTCGTGCTAGTGTTGTCCGGTCTGCTGCAACTGTTGTAATTAGAAGTTGTGATTAGAAATAAGGAAAAGAAGTTTTTAAGTTAAGTTAAGTTCTGGTTGAGATCAGTTTGGTCTTTCTATCAAATCTGGCAACCCAACATGGGTTACAGCATGTCTGTGACTCTAATCTGAGTCTTCTCTGTCTTATATAAGAAACACTACTAAAATTGTTGTTTTTTCCTAACACACTAGAACTGCATCTTGATTAAATCTTACTTTATTTTTCTATAAATGTTTGGTTTTAACACTCTAGAACTGCATCTTGATATCTTACTTAAATCTCACTTTATTTTTCTATAAATGTTTGGTTTTGTGAGTCATTTTTTGGTTTGTTGATTTCTGTGACTTGTCCTAAAAGTCGAGAAATCAGAGTTTTTGTGTTTGGTTTGTGAGACGAGAAAAAAAAAACTGAGGACAAAAAAAACAACACAGTCAAACAGAGCGGAGAAAACCGCAGCTGGGTGCAAACACACACACATTATAACTGTAGTTACACACATTCATTAGGACCGCGCAGTCCTTTGACTGCACGGGAGGAAAGTTGAACTAATGTAATGGCAATTAATGGAGCTAAGACAGAGGAGCTATTAGTTTTGAAGTGTAAGGGAAGTCCTTTTAATTTCTGTGCACATCTAATGAGTTGAGAAAATAGGCTTTTATCTTAAAGGTGCGCCAGTGAATAATGAAGTGTTACCTGTCGTTCCAAAAATAATCAGCCTCTGCACAGCCAGGAGCAACGGAGAGCACGCAGAAGAACAAACAGGGAAGGGGGGATTACGGCTTTTAATTGGTCATCAGGTTGAAACTGTGCCTTTGTGTTAGCGTGTGTGTTGTTAGGGTCTCATTGAACAGTCTGAACATGTTCCCCTAACATTCATTATTACATGATTAAAAGAATCGGCGTCTCTATGCTAATAGTAGGAGGTTTTTTTTTTGTTTTTTTTTTCGTTTTTTTTCCTTTTCGTTCTTTTCCTAAAGGCTGCAGCGCTGGTTTCCAGCTTCGACAGAAAGCTAAATTTATGGAGCATTACTTATTCATGCCGGTAAATTGAGAGTCATGTTGAGACTGATTTCAATTGTGGTGGATGTATATATGAACATGCACTCTTTTCTTAGCCTGTGCAGCTCATGTGTCAGTGTGTCGGAGGTTCACAAAGGTACAAAGACCCCCACAAACCCGTCTTTTTAATTCAACACATATTACATTTGGGAACTTTTAAAGACAACGGTGCCACCGTCCTCCTGCTTTGGTACCATTTATCACCTTCCTGATTCTATATAAGACGCAGACATCTGAAAGACATCAGTGGAATCTTGGACCTCCAGTTAAATGACTATGGTCCTCAGGTTTGAGACCCCTGGTTTAGACTAGTTGAACACCTAAACTAACTACTTCACTCTTCACATTAAACACAACTTAGTCCCAGTTTGATATGATAGTCTTAACCATACACTGTATGATACAATTATATTCCTTTCAGTTCACTAACAACACAGCCATGTGAAAATGACGAGAAACCTTAAAAAAAAAAAACCTTAAAACTGTTCTGTCTGAAAAAGTTCAGGCTTCGTCACACAGCTGGGACGTTTTCTCTAACTCTGTCTGTCGTCTCCACTTTTAGGTGACAAACTACAGGTATTTCGTTCACGACTCACATTCTTGGCTTCTTCAAATAACTCAATAATAAACACGTAACCAAAAAAAAAATTATTTTTTTTTTATCTCTAACATCAGCCTCTCGTTTTTTTTCCATTTTCCCCTTAACGTATCGTTATCACCTTTCTCATTACTGGTGTTAATTGCAGGTATATTACAGTACTTACAGTACGACTGCCAATTGGCTAGTCTCTCTTACTCTTCTGTAATGAGTGCAGTAGCTCTTCTGTTACTACTCGGTTTTTTTGCTCTTTTATCTTTTACACTTTAATCCGGCTCTTGTCATATCACTTCCTACTGATGCCGTGCCCTGGAAAGCACCAAGTGCGGAGTGGGTGTCTTTAAAATACCTCTCTTTATTTTTGGTCCCACGGCCCAAACAGAGACGTGTGTACGTCTGAGGACGAGTCGAAGGGAATTATAATCAGCTCTTTCATATCAGTGCGCACGGACTGAAGTGGACATGGGTGTGTGTGTATGTACAGCCCAACATTTGTATAGGAGATAAAGTCAGTCAGTGTGTGTGTGTGTGTGTGTGTGTGTGTGTGTGTGTCTGTAGGCTGCTGAGTTGAAAGCCTGGGAGCTGACAGGCTGTATGCCTGGACCTCCATCTCAGCTCCACTGTTCAGCTGGGTGGCTGAGCTCATTACAGACCCACGCTGACACTCCATTGGGCATACGAGCACATGTACGTGCACACAAACGCACACAAACACACACACACACACCAGGCCTCTGCCTCAAATCCTTTCTATCTCTCCCTCTCTCTCTCTCTCTCTCTCTCTCTCTCCTCCCTTTTCCTGTCACACTGTCATATTCTCTCCTCTTACTTTGCTCCCAACTTTCTTCTTTTCTTTTCTCCTCTTTCTTCAGTGTCACTCTGTCACATCCTCATCTCTCGCGCCAGCAGACTCCACCTTCCCTTTCTTGTTTCTTTGTCAACCATTCTTTTTTTTTTCCTTCTTCTTCTTCAGTCTTTTCCTTCTGACACATCGCCTTTTTTCTCTCTTCCTCCCGTTCTTTGTCTGTCTGTTCCCCGTGTTGTCTTGTTGTCTCTCAGTCTCTGACTCTGGTTTTCTCACCCCTCCCTTATCCTTCTCATTCACCTTTACTGGAAGTCAAGGAGTAGAAAAGAGAAGTACACGGCGGCAGGACAGAAGGACAGGTGACACTGGATGACAGACGGTCGGAGCAGATTGTAATAAATGTCAAGAGGAGACGTCGGCGACGCACAACAAATCCCTTGGTGAGAGGTCAGGCCCACCTGAAACTGGAGAACCTGATTCTGCAGATAACTCATGAAAAGGCTTCACAGCCTAATTATTGTTTCTTTTTTTTCATGGTGATTTTATTTGACCTAATTAGGGAGACTTTAACTTGCCATAACCAACGCCAAGAAAAAAACAGATTATACGACACAGGGAATCCACGTATTCACTTGCTTGTTGGAAAATGGTTTTCTTCTAACTAGAAAACCAAGAACTCTCATCTTACATGTGTTTAATGAAACTGGGAAACGTGTAACTACTGGAAGAAATGAGAAACGCTTTAGTGAACACGGAACTATTATCGGAGAAAATCTGGCATTCTGCTTTTTAGAACAGTTTAAAACTATAGGAAAGATCAATTATTTCACTGGTTTGCGACTGTGTCTTGTTTTTACACTTTTATGGAAACTGTTTTTTTTTTGCGACTGTGTCTTGTTTTATACCAAACACTTTTATGGAAACTGTTTTTTTTTTGTTTGTTTTTTTTACATACAACCTGTTAAAGGTTGGGATTTTAAGTAATTAACTGTTTTTTAGCTTTCCATGTTATCATGAAGAAGATAATTTTTTTTTACTAAAATGTAAATTTTTAATTTTAATTTTTTTAAACACTTCATTCTTACCACTTTATCCTTCATATAATTAATCTTATTAACCCTGGAGAGTTGACCACAAACTGACACACAAAAACCATTCACACTCCTATTCACACCTGTGGTCAAGTCAGAGTGAACATTTAACCCTATCCTGTCTGTTCTTGAACTGGGGGAGGAGTTTGGGCGTCAGGTGAGAACCCATGTACACACACACACACACACACACACACAATACTCTCTTTGATTACAGATTACAAATCAGCTCAGTTCCCAAAAGAGTTAAATACCGTCACTGCACACCGTCTCCTCCCCCCGCACAGAAACACTACACCCCCTGCAGGGCCCAGACCCCCACTTTGGGAACCACTGATCCACAGTGTGGACCTCAGATTTAATTAGGCTTAAAAAAACACACATCAGAAACATGAGATTATTGATAAATACTGGGACAGACAATACATGTACAGTAAACTCATGTCTGAAACACTGGATTTCCCTGTTATTATATATACTCAGCAGTTCATAGTCAGATGTTTTTTTTTCCCAAACACAAGCTCATCTTTAATGAAATAATCCCATGCTCTGATTTAATCATATTCAACAAAGATTTCCCCTGTGGTTCACATGAAGGGCTGCTCTCTCCCAGCTAACCTGTCGTCTGCTGCAGCTGACTATGTCCTCTGCCAGCCTAAAGAGGGTGCTGCGGACTCAACGTTTAATGAGCAACAACAGGCGTTTTCAGCCAGCTCTGCTGGAACCGATGGAGGATTCTGCTGAGTTTATCATGTGATTCACACGTTCAAAGCCTGAGGTGCTGCTGCCAGTCGCTGCTGCTGCTGCTGCTGCTGCTGCTGATGTAAAGGAGGCTGAGAATAGTCCACCGTTTGTGGCAATAACAACTCAGCACGGAAGCATCACTGCAGCATATATATTCCTGTGTGAAATTCAACTTCTTCTGGTGTCTGTGACTGAAATACGTGGTGTAATTCTTGACACATTGTCCACTGACTGTATGTTGAAACAAGCAAGGCCTTAACGGTGACTCTCGTTTTTAATGTGAATAAATATCTGATGGTCACATTTCTTCTTCTATAAGGACAATTTTCTGTTAGAAAAAAAACAAAACACTTCCACTGAGAATAAGAATACATTAGTAAAGCTGTACCATACAGCTGTGATTGGAACAGATGGGTTACAAAAATAATTATGTCTTAAACAATTCGACACCCTGAAAGTAAAGAACATGTGTGTGCATCTGCGTTAACACCAGTTTGTTACAGGTGTGGAGAAAATGTCACTGAACGCATCCCACAGTCTGTATGTGCTTCTATTCTAACGTTAGTTACGTCAATCTCAATGAACGTCAACGTCACAAACACTTTTTTTTTTAAGTTAGACCTAAGTTATTGTATTAATTTGTGGCATCACTTCTCACTGAACTGGAAGAAAAAAAATGGAGTGTTTCACGATTTCATTTCCCAGCAGTGACAAACAGCCATCGGTGCCAACAATGAGTCTGATTGTAAAGTTGGTCAGCGCGTTTTATGACACACAGTCACAATCAACCCTGTGTGTTTTGGCCGGGCTCTCGCCACTTTTCATCTGTGTCAGGGTTAAAGGTCAAGGCAACAGGAAGTAGCTAAGTAGTCTATGAAGGGGCTGGGCACAGACCTGGGCCCCGGCAGCACAGACATGACGCATGGATCTGGGCTAATGAAACACATCCAACACTGGGTGATTACTGGGGGCCTGCTCTGCATGTGAGCATGTGTGTGTGTGTGTGTGAGTGTGTGTGTGAGACTAACCTGAAAGATGAGCAGCGGTAGTTTTGGAGCTGAAGAATCGTCCCAGTCCCAGGTCTCCTAGCTTCACTACTCCTGTAGCTGTGATGAATACGTTGGCTGGTTTGATATCTGGAAGAAGAAGAAGAAAGAGTGACGAGAATACGGATCAAACCAAGGAAACACCTTTTCAAATGCTGTTTCATTCTGTTTTTTTTGTATTGATAAAACAAAATCCAAATAACACAGACTGTAAATACATTCCGTTATATTGTTTTTGAGAAGGATCATTTTTAACTTTAAAAAGGAAAAGTCCATTTAGACAAATCTTGTTTTGTGAATTTGAACAGCACAATAAAGTTGAATTTGACTTTTGTGAAAATAAATTATACATACAATGTTTCCAACACATTTTATTAGTTTTTTTAACCTTTGTAAATAAACAACTTTAAGCAAAAAGATTACAACATCAAGATAGACTTTAATGGAGAATTCTTTAGTCTTGAGACTTTTTGACTTCCCTTTTGTAATTTTTAAAGTGGTCATCCTAGTTGACGTGGATGTTCTCAACCCATTTTTGATGCTTCCTCCAACATTACCTCCACATCTTCCTTTGAAATGTACCGCTCTTGTGTAATTGTGAACGGCTTTTGAGGAGGCAGTCGCTGTTAAGTGGTCATTAAAGGCCAGAGCACAGGATTCATTACTGTTTGTCTGCTCTGATCAGACTCTGTGATGGTGTGTGTGTGTGTGTGTGTGTGCCACATAAGTACATCACCTCGATTATAACATCCAGCTGTGAATGTTTTGATGTTGGAATAAAAAAATGTCATGATTTTTGCCTCTCAACTGTGAATATGTTCTGTTTGCTCCTGGGTAAAATTAAAATGAATACATGAATACATAATTCGTGGACACACACTGGATTCCAAATTAAACATCAAATAATGATGTTAGACAAAAATACTGTTTTTACTCCATTTTATTTCTGTGTCCGTCCTGACAAAAACCGTTGGTGACCACTGATATAAGTACAAACCCTATATTTTAGCTTTAATGCTGATAGATTTAGCTTGAGGTAAATTTGACCTTCAATTCAGCTAGGACAGTGAAGGCATCACTGACCTCCATCAAAGTAGTTTGGATTCCCTAACCTTAGTCAGCCAATCAGAGGCGGCGAAGATCAGGTCCTGTGTAACTCTGGTGTGGTAACAAGGAAGGTGGTGGGTTTTTTCGAAGGTGGTCATTAAATAACGAGATGCATGAGAACAATTGGTGGATCGCACTGAGCCTCTGGGCTAAACTAGTTTGAGACCCCTGCCTCAAGGCTTTGCACGAAGTGCATGAAGTCCAAAGAAAACCAAGGGCTTCTGACTGTCACGGTCTTTTCCCCACAGAAACCCGACCTGAGCTCCATCAAATATTTATGAGGAGACGTTAGGATTAAGAAAGCCAAGACTCCTGTGTCATCGCTGAGTGTTCTTTTTGGAGCGTTGTTAACAAGTCCATGCCAAGTGGACACATGTCGAGGCGTGTTGGATTTAAACATTTTCAATGTGAGAGTGTATACATGAATTATATTGGGGATATTTCATTATTTATATCTACCATTCAAGGAGATTCTGAAGGAAGTTGCCCTTCCTTCCTACTACCAGGACCATAATTTATTTAATACACAAAAATATTACATATCCAATGCACAGGAGTTTTGACCAGAACCATATGTTGAACTGTTTATTGTATATTAAAAAATATTTTTGTTGTATCTTTATATAAGAACTTTTTATTGTATCTTTTGTTGTATCTTTACATTTTTTGGTATTATAATTTGCATTGGTTAATTTATTTGTTTAGAAAAACTCAATTTTAATTTTACACAATTTTGTTTCTATGACAAAGATTTGCTGCATTTGTCACTTCCCTCCATCTAACATATAATAATAATAGATAATCCAAAATCTATTTATTCTGTTCATAAAAAAAACAACAACAATACAGTTAGGGTTGAGTGTGTGTGTGTGTTCAACACACACACACACCCCACATCTCTCCGGGAGTGCATGTGTTCGAGGGCACTGCAGAGCTGGACAAAATACTTCCACACTGTTCTCTCAGGGATGAGCCTTCTTTGCTTCTTAAAGTGCTGTGAAGTCAATGCAGAAAACACACACATGAATACACAACACACACACACACCCCACATGACCCTGAGAGCACAAACATATAAATTAGTTTAACAGAGATGGAAAGGGTTTGTGTTGCACATTTAAAAAAAAAAAAAGAACAAATTTAAAGATGGTAGCAGAGTCTCCTGTCTGTGTGCGTTTAGGCAGCATCCATCGTTGGCCTGCGTCCTCAGCCCTGTGACTCCACTCCTAATGCAACACAGACCCCGCTCCTCTACGTCGGCCGCCTATGTCTAACCGAGCACCATCTCATTTTCTCTATGATCGACAATGAAAAGCACATGCATTCCTGAGAACAGGAAGCAGAAATTTGTGGTACCTTCCAAAAGTCTCCCATCTGGCACACAGCTCAGCTCGGAGGGTCAGTACGACTCCTCAGTCGCACAGTAATGACATTCACATAATCCTCAGTTTTGCTTTAAATCAACAACTGTTGATGAAAAAAAATGCTTCAGTTTTATGATTTTTTTTTTTTATTTCAACTGACCTTTTTGATCAATTAGACAGAAAAAGCACAAATCACAGAAAATCTTTCTGGCTCACACGAGCTGCATGGACGTCAATGACACGTTGGTGTGTCGTCAATAACATTGATTTAGAGATATGTGCAGCGAGGAACCAGTCACTGAGGCCACAGTCTACATCCTAGGATGACACGTTTGGTTTCATTAGTATAACATCTATAGCAGTGATCATCAACTGGTCGTCACAGAACCAGATCCAACCGGCTGAAAAACGTCCAATCCGGGCCACGACTGGATTCCAAAACAAACATCAAATAATAATCTTTATGACTTTTATATCATTTTATGATATTGAGTGTCCGGCCCTCAAATTCTCTGGCATTCCGACAGCTATAGTTGGTGATTCCTGGTCCATAGTATGTTATGCTGAGGGAGGTGTACAGCTCTATAGGACAGAGGAGCTCTTCGTTATATTCAGCTCACCTGGTGTTTGTGACCTGTGTGTTACAGCAGTGGTTCTCAAAGTATGGAACATGACCACCTGGTGGCACTAAGCAGATGATTTGATGTTATTTATTTTCATATGCTTTCCCTGATACATAGGCTAACAATTTATTTAGATGGAAGAAATATTTTTAGTACTTCTTATACTATGCTATGAGTTGAAGAGAGTAAGTCTGTGCTGCAGTATTTTCATGTTAGTCATGCTGGTGGGGTTTTTTTTTCTGAGGTGATACCCAGCATGAAAAAAAGTTTGACATCTACTGAGTTAGAGGATTATATTTATCCACAACATTTATGTTGCAGCAGTGAACTCAACTCATGGACCGGGGTTTGTCAGCTGTGTTTGTTGGTGCCCAGTCCAGAGGAGGGAGGATTCTAGTTTGTGAACAGTACTGCAAGTAGGAATTTGTTTTTCTTTTTAGATTTTTGCATCTCAGTTTTTCTTAAGCATTGTCCTTTATTTCTCATTTAAATCTGTCCACGCAGCTTGTAGATGTTAGAAGATATGTTTTTATAATGGAGATAATCCACTATTTTCTAAAAGCATATCATTTCAATACAAAACTCTTACCAGTGATTGGTCCACATATGCTGCCCTGCCTATGTCAAACTGCATCTTTGCACACATTTTAATACATGAAACATGGCTACGCATCCAGATAATTAGCATTTAGCTTTCACTAAGATCAGTAATGGTAATACCTGTTTAAGGTCTAATAACAGGATGGAAAAGATATAGGGCAGAGTGGAGATGGAAGGCAGGAGATAATGGTGAGAAATTCAGAAAATAAGACGGAGAAAAGTGAGCATGAAAGCGAGGGACAGATGTAGAGATAGATGGAGGGATGGAGGGATGGAGGGATAGACCTTGGCCTACATGGAAACAAAGCATCAGTGAGGAGGCATTCTTCCCTTGCCCTCCCATTTCCATATCAGAGGACTGTTTGATGTCAATGGGGGAGCACTAGACATCCCACCAACACCACCACCACCCCCACTCTCTTCTCTATGGCTTTTACAGCAAACACTGCACATGCAATATTCCGTAAGCGCATGCAAATCAAGGACTATTTGATTTAATTTGAATTCTGAGATGGTCAGAGAGCGAGAGAGTGACGGAGAACGAAGAAGGAACGGAGCAAGAAGAAGAAGAAGAAGAAGAAGAGGGAATATCAAAAAGAATAAAAAATGCTAAAATCATGCATGGCTGGGTCGGTCTGTTATACATATGGAAAACTGCCGTAGTCTGTTTACATCAACTGGCTACCGAGGACCTGAGGCTAAGCTTAGTAAACACCTCTAGACCGTCGTGATGGGAAAAGAAATTATTTACGACAACGCAGAAGACAAACGGTTTAAATTAAGGATGCCAAACGTAAGGTCCTTGGTCCAACTATCGCCCGCCTACTACGGCTTTTAGATGTATGTAAATACTTTTTTTTTTAAATATTATAAATCTTAAAATATGTTTTTATACAATGCTGCTCCTTAAAATTTAAAATGAATAATTTACAACTTTGTAATCTGTTTACAAAGTCAGATTCATTGACTTTTGTTCATTTGTTCCTAATCATAGCTTCCTCTAATGTTATTTTACATACATATGTAAAAAGAGCCAAGGTTTTTGTGTACTCCAGGTTCAGCTGTTCAAAAATAATTCACCTAAACAGTTTGAATGTAACAGATGAACCAAGAGTGAAACCTGGAACAACAACGGAAGTGCCTCCACGGTCAGGAAAGAACCTCAGTTTGTGAAGTAGTTGATGTAAAATAAGGCTGAGCCTCATTATTTTTATAACCTCAGGAAACACTTTTATGAAGATTCTATGCTGTTTTTTGTACAATCCCATTTAGAGGAAAACCAAAAGAAGAAGACAAAGACAACGGAATAGGACAGTGAATTTTGAACTCGGCCCTACACTGGGATAGCAAGGTCTCCAGGGTGTACTATGCTATTACACAATGACTGCTGGGATTGGCTCCAAACACCTGCTTCGCCCCCCCCCCCCCGCAAAGAATTAAGCAAAAAGAAAATAAATGAATGAACTCTGCACATGAACCGGTCTTGGGTAAAGTTTAGGCAAAGAGTTAAGTTTGTGGTTATTCTGTCCAAATACATTCTCATCAGCACAGAGTCGAACAGAAAAGGCAGCACAAACCTGTGAGTGTGTGTGTGTGTGTGTGTGTGTGTGTCAGTACCCATAGGAGAAGAGGACACAGTTTAATTGCTCCCAACATCCTCAGTAGCTGAGCTGAGACAGCAGTGAGGCTCTGTGGTTTGTTATTTTACCTCTCCAAACTGCCATGTTACATTATTTAAAATACATCTTTGAAATTTGTGCATGATTCCACACTGGTGTGTGTGTGTGTACACACACTTCCCCTTAAACAGTATGGAGTGACATACTGTATATACAGGATGAATACAGAATGTGTAAGCGAGTGTGTCTTTATCGGACTTGTGCATGTGTGTGTGTGTGTGTGTGTGTGTGTGTTCAGCCTGCCATGTTCACTCTCCTGTATCACTAATCCTCGCCTCTCCTAATTTGCTGTGTTGAGCTATTCTGATGTGAAGCTGCTGAGTATGACTGCAAACAGCTTGTCGAGCTGTGCCGATACAACGCCACAGCATCATTTATGCATGGGAGAAGACCGGGCTTTTTACATGCACAGCACTAATTTGCTATACGGGGAGGTTTTTGTATTAAAAAAAAAAAAACTTGGGATTTGGACCAACTCAGGGAAAAAATTACAAAGTGAGCCTGAGCCACTGTTGAACAACAGCGTGTCTTTCTACTCCTTCTCCTTTGACAAAATATCCTAACTTTAAGTCTTTGCGAGTGAGACGCCTATATGATGAGGAGACAAGGACATTTCCTACTTAAGTCTCTTGTTTCCCACTGAGGTGTAGCCTGAATAATAAACATCCTGGTGTCAGTACCCACTGGGCAGCACCCAGTTACAGTATCATAAACCTCTGAGGTTAATATAACCCCTCATACTTTTAGCGCCACATACTGTTCAAACGCTGGACCATAGGTTTAGCGCCACATACTGTTCAAACGCTGAACTCACAGGCTATCTCTGTTGAAGTCGGCTTCTCTTTGGACACAGCGATGCCCAGCTTCTCCCCTCCCTGTTGATGTACGGTAAGTGGCAAACAAAATGGATGAACTGTGACAGGATCTGGTCACACGATGTCATGCAATGTCAGGTTTTTATCGATGAGCGAGGCTTAACATCAGCTTGGTGCTGTTTCCAAAACAAAACTCACTTCAGCAGAGTTGAATTACAACAAGTGTTCTGTAAAATTAGACCAAATTTTACCGACGTATAACTGCAAATTTAAACCGTTTATTCTTGAAGCACCTCCATAAGTTCCTAGCAGAAACGGTGCATACCTTAAATTACTTTTCTGCTACTTTTCCTGATTGGTGACCACTAAAGATTTTCAATAAAATGTTTGAAATTTTTCCGCTTCAGTATAGATCTGACAAACTTTACTCAGCATTTCTTTCACGTCCCCCAGACAGAACACATGCTAGAGCTCGAGGACAATTAATCACAGTTTGTTTTTTTACGACTTCCCTCTCACAGTGGAGACACATGTCACCGATTAGGAGTAACGGAAATTGCAGGGGGCCTGATATTGGCTGGTTTTGGTTTTATTGGGCAGTGGATGATTCAGACTGACTCAGTGTCCAGGTACTCAAAAGCTTGTAGGAGCCACAAACCACAGACCCCCCGCCACCATTTCACCAGTTATAAAAGGCCACATCAGCACTCTGTGGTTTCCATATTTCTTCCTGACGCCAACTGTGAGATATAAAAGTTGGATCACCTGGTATTATTGTCCTCCGGGGGACCAAACGTTCCACAGAGTCTAGATGTCCCACATTACTTAAAAATACATTGCAACACAACACAAAAGATGGATTGGAGAGATTTTGATTTTTTAACATTCTAAATGTTCAGAAAAAGATTCATTTCAGTTTCTTTCTTTCTTATCTTTTTCTATTTTCGGAATATAACACTTACAAATCTAAACTACATGTGGATGGGTTTTTTTGACACAGCAACATAACACTTACAAATCTAAACGATATGTGGATGGGTTTTTTTGACACAGCAAGGACATCTGAGTGTCAATAGTTATTGTTGCTGCTGGATCAGCATGGTTTCTTTGAGCTTGTGCTAGGTTGCAAGATTAGCTCAGCAAATATTCAGAAAATACTTTTCTTTTTAAGAGAAAAATGTATGTGTTAAGTATTTAAACTGTTTTCAAGTCAACCAGTCTTATCTACATCAATGACAGCATTCTAGGAATTTAAATACTTTTTTTTTTCTTACTAGGTCCATTATCATGAAGCTGGTGTGTGTGCAGCTAATACACTTTAATAAGGATGACACTGAATATTTTTCAAAAATGATAATTTTTTTAGATCACCTGAAATTAAGTAGACCAATAATTTCATTTTTCTTCAGCTGGAGAGAAAAGACTGTGACGTAAGAAGTCAGGGCTGGGATCGAACACCTCACCTTGATCATACGTGAGAGGTCCCCGGCGTCCGCTAACTCCAGGACTATGTTAAGCTCATTGTCCTCGATAAACGATGCGTGGTACTTTATCACATTGGGGTGGTTCAATTGCTGTGATAGAGAGAGAGAGAGAGAGAGAAAAATGAAAAACCATCAACAGATATGTCACGGAGCAGTAAAACCATAAACACAACACAAGGTGGTGACACTAGTCACATAACAACTGTCCTTGGTCATAATGTCTACCAGCGTCAAAACTGTTGACGCTGTGGACCGGGAATCTTACAAACACATGACACCAAATGTATCAAAACACACAGCAGCCGATAAACAGAGGCTGGTGTCGAAGCGTGGAATAATCAACTCTACTTTCACCACCAATTAAAACACAACAGTAGAATCCATTTTTGGTACATGGACCTAATGAGACGCTTTTGTCCTGAAGTGTGACAAAGCTTGGTGACACGCCACAACAATCCCTCGGTTTGTTATGACAACAACCCATGTGTGTGAGACACACACAGACGCACAAACTTACTTACTTACACACACACACACACACACACATCCCTGATGTGTGTACATGGCTGGCAGTCAGAAAAACAAGCATGCTGGGTTCATCTCTGTCTGAGATTTCTTCCTGTTGGTTGGCCAATAAGGGAGAACAGCATTCCCTGTAGTAAGCACAAAGTCTCTATCCATCCAGAGCAGGAGGAGAAAAGGGGGAGGAGGGGAGTACGGGAGGGAGGCGCAATCAACGAGAAAGAAACAAATGACACAGTGACACAGACAAGTAAAAAGAATGATGGGAGACAGAAGTGGAAAGGGTGATGAGGTAGGAAAAGAGAACAAAGGTGAGGGAACAAAGAAGAGCAAGAATAGCAGGAAGTGAAGTGGGGGTGAAGTGTGTGTAGATACGTGTGTGTATGTGTGTGTGTGTGTGTGGTGGGGTTGATACGTGGAGAGCTGGAGGTGTGAAGCTATGTGGCGTGGCAATGTTGAGTAGATGGGGCCCCGTGATGCAAGCAGACGGAGCAATGTGACAGCATCCTGCACTCGTCTCCACTCTGCTTTCCCTGCTATGATTAAAGAAATGTTCATGCTCTGGATGATCCAGACAAGAGGGGAGAGGAGAGCACAGTGCACTACACTACGCTACACTACACTCTCCACTCCATCTCTGCATCCCTCCATAGACCTCTTTTCCATTCCATCTCCCTCTCCCTTTCCCTCTCTTCTCATGTCTCCATAAAATCCACACCGCCCCTCCTCCCCCCTCCACATCCTTGTCCTCTCTTGCCATATGTATTTTTGGCTCAGAGTGGCAGTTCTGCATGGATCCACACGGTAGCACAGCCAGGGAGCGATGACAAGTCCCCTCCTCCACACAACCCAACCCACTCCTGTTTCACAACTGGAACCTGGAGCGGTGGATGCAGAGAAATGAAGAGATATGTTCACATGCAGATGTTTATGTAAATGATGGACGGGAGCCGACTGCAATACAACAACCGTTCACTGGCAAATTTCACCTAGTCTTGCTTGATTACATAATTACACATGCTGGCTGAGACCCACCAGTGTGTATAATTACTTAATCATGCAAGGCTGAGTGATACGTTTGGTGAGCTGGTGAAGTGTTTCCAAGAAGAACAACACTGGGATGTGTAAAAACTGCTGACTCAAAATAGGGCTCATTCAAAATAAATGGAGATGAGGGACCGACGCTTGACCACCAGGGGTGGAGTCAGGTGGTAAAAAAAAAAAAAAAAATTCCTCAGGAAAGATTACATTAAAGTTCCATTACAGCTGATAGGATTTTCTTTCTTTCCTGAGCCGTTGACTACCAACCGAGCGTCATCTCATATTGCGACCTCTGTACACCCCAGTGTATCTGCCCTCTAATGGCTACTTCCAGTAACATAAGTCAACATGTCACGAAGCTTAAATCATCTCAATCTTCTTCCATGAACACGACCGTGAGATCGTTCTACCTAAACGACCGCCGCAGTCACCAGATCTCAATCCACTAGATCACCATCAGCACGTGGTGGATCAGGGGATTCCTATGATGGATGCACAGCCAACGGCCACTGCGTGATGCTATTAATTTAATACGGCCTGAGATCTCTGAGGAATCTTTCCAGGATGTTGGAGAATCTATTCTGTGATGTATTAAGCAATACATTCTTGTGGGGGGGAAAAAAAAAAAAAAAGGGAATTGAACCTGGTTCTGCCAAGTATGACCTAATCAAGTGGTCAATGATGGTAAGGGTCCTTGTGTCTCTGATCCATGTATTATTCAAGATACAACAGGGACACAAAGTGGAAGTGGTTACTGTCTTAGCTAAAGACAGATCATGGTTTGCTGGTTCGATCCCCAACATTTTCTATACAACTACAGTGGGGCATCAAGGTACTAGATTAATCCGTTTCACAACAGCACTCGTGTCTCGATTTTCACCATTAAAAATAACTAAAAATAATAATAATTAAACCAAGTATATTAATCATATAAAATAATAATAATTAAGATAACATTTTATATTATTGTTATTAAAAATGGGTCAAATAACGCAGCGAGGGACAGTGAGTGAGACAGCAGAGTGAAAACTATAAACCCAAGCCCAGGTATTTATACTACCAAATAAGGACAACACCAGTGAGGCAACAATAAAACCAGCTGAACTTCTCTCCACTGGAACTACCAGTCCCACTCTGCAACAATGCTCAGAAAAACTCTGCAGCTCTTCTTTTTTTTTTTGTGTTCAGCAAGTAAAACTGCACCATCTGTGAACAACAGTGTGCCCACGTGTGTGATCGTCAAGTGTAACTCCCAAAATAAAATAACTCACGTGCACAGCTGGTGAACTGGAGCTGAGGGAGACACAGAGACAGAAGCTTCCCGTGGCCCAGGTCCTCCATGATAATTCAAGTACCAATGGAAATGTGGACAAATGCCTTTGAATAAACCTAAAAGTGTCATCTGAAATATGCAGCATGGATCACACTGACCCTGACAAATCAAACTGACAATGTGTATGTTATTTTAATCGAACATGTGTTTATTTGTGATGTAATAAAGGCTGGAAAAGTGGACCCCAGAGCAGAGCAGTGGACTTCAGAAATGATGATGCTTTAGATTTAGCCTGATAAAAAAAAAATTCAAGTAAAAAAAAATATAAAAATAAATAAGAATCTCAGATATAGGGAGGAGCAGAGTAGCAAAAAATGTCTTCTATGTTAATTGGGGCAGATAATTACTCATCAGTAGACGTCCATTTTTGATAAACAGCTGTGGGATTTTAAAGAATGATCAGCCTCCGTTTGGCAGCGAGCACGCTGTTTCAGCAACAAAACGTTGGAGGCAGCCAGGGATTAGACCAAAGGACTGAGTGAGGAGTGAGTCAGAATCTTATACTGGAATCATCGTGTCAGGAAAGAAGAGAAACAGTGAATGAGCAGACACAAACACAGACAGACAAACAAAGAAAGAAATAGGTGTGCTGGTGAACGGCCCTGACTGTGTCTGGGTTTGTTGTCTACCTGGTTTTACCTGCTGGGGTAAAACACATCCTAGTGACGCAGTACATGATTTATATGGATGTTACTGCAGGTGTCGGGTTCAAAGACTCAGTCAAGGTCAAGCTGAATGACAATGACGGAATGTATTATATTCATGACTCAACTCAAATGAAACAAGATGAAATAATTGAGTTCAATTAGGGGTAATGACGCCATTTAAAACTGTAAAATTGTTTTTCAAAACTAACAATGACACGAAATGGTGATGGGTTCAGGTTTCAAAAACCTGTTCATGGAAGTCAAACAAAGTCCTAACAAGGAGAAACCAAGGTGAAATCCTGAGTGTGTGTGTCAACAAGGAGAAACCAAGGTGAAATCCAGAGTGTGTGTGTGTGTGTGTGTGTGTGTAAAGTGTGTATTTGTGTCCCAACAAGAATGTGGAACACTCAGCTCTCCATCACAGACAATGGCACAAAACTAAGTGAAAAGACCAGTTTGGAGAGAGAGAGAGAGAGAGAGAGATTACACCTAAGAATGGACAATGTAAAGGACGGGCTTGACCTTTGACCTTTCTATCACCCCACTCCCAGAGGTCACAGATACCAACCAAGGCCATATTGTCTGTAAAACGCTTGAAGTCAATGATCCACTCCTGAAATTGCATCTCTCCAGCCGATCTGGTCTGCTCCTGAGTATCATTGTCTGTGATTGGCCCCTCAGAGCCCTGGAGGTTTCAGTGAAGTGTTTGAGTGGCACAAACTAATTGGTACTATTTTTCTAGCTGCCTCTAATGTGTGTGTGTGTATGTGGGTGTGCGCGTGTCAGTGCGTTTATGTGGTGGATATGTATTCGTGAGTATATGTGCACAAACTGCCTACAGTACACACAAGGCATTGAGACACACGTACAATCTTTCTGACAGGAAATATTGAAGCTGTCATCAGTCGTTCATTAGAGTTTCAGAGCAGCTGACACCAATCAGGACTCCGTCTTCTGATGAAACTAAAACCTCCTCAATGGAAAAAAAATTAGTAAAAACACAGCCTAAGGAGTGGAGCCAAAACATGGAGTATCACATTAGGGAGTCTGACGTTGATGCTCTATGGCCCAGCTTAACATTTTTCAAAAAGATGAAAAAACAAAACAAAAAAAAAACAACAGTTTTGCCGAAACGAAGGGAGTCACTGCCAGCCTGGAGGGATGCATCGCTTCTGTAAAACACACACACCTACTGTAGAGACTCTCCTTCTCACACACACACACACACAGACTCATCACAGATATCTATTCCGTCTAGTGCGGATCAATTCTTTTCCTGTGGTGGAGGGTATCAGCTGAGGCACCTTAAGAGAACAGAGCCCGGCACATGACGCCGTCTCCCTTCTCTCTGGTTCTTTACCTTAAGGAGATCTATCTCTTTGATGCAATCTTGCCGAGCTTTGGCATCCATCAAGTCAAATATCTATCAAGAGATCAAAAGAAAGAGGGAGACAGAGAGAGATAAGGAGGGAGAGAAAGGGGGATGTTACGACATGTTCACTTTAACGCTGAGATGGAGATGTGAATCTAGAGATGTTGAAGGAGGAGAGTAAAAGAATGTAATTAATGGAAAACATCCACATAGTTAGGTGTTTCATACCTGAGTAACAGAGCAAGAAGACAATATTTTCATTTACCTACGTGTGCACGTAAAATATCCGTGCTCATTCTCAGTGAAAATTGTAGTCTGTAGGCTAAAGGTCAGACGAGTGGCCTCAGACTGAGTCATAAATGGAATAAGCTACGCATCCATTAAAAGAGTCAGAATTATTTGGAGTAAAATTTGAATTACAAATAATCATAAAATACTTTCAATAATATAATAGCAGCTTCTGAAATACAAACATTTAGTTTTTAACATTCGTTCAAAGTACATGTATTTAAATGTATTTTTTCACTCTGTATTTAAGGACCTTAGGGTGCCCTCTGTTCAAATCATGTCATCATCATGCTATAAGCTACATACTGTAAGTAAAGTGCAGTAGTGAGTAGACATATTTCCAGTCTTTGTTCAGCCTCATAACTGAATGATGTTAAACCTGGACAACACTGTAAATCCCTTGTTTTCCTTGAACTCACCTGAACCTTCTTCAGGGCCACTGACGTGTTGTCTAGAAGATACCTCGCCCTGTAAACCTCACTGAACTGGCCGCGGCCGATCTTCTTCTCGATCTGGAAGTTGGCCAATGAATTGTGACCCATATCTGGCTGCAATGGTTTCTGGAAATACAAAGAAATACAGAGGTGAATATTCCTGGACAGATTAGCAGTGTAGCAGAACTGAGTTTTGGATCAGACTTCAATGAAGACATTTGTGACTAATCCACATGATGGAATTATTAATATGGATTTTTTTTAGGAAAAAATTCATCCCATCGTGATGAAAAATGCCAACGAACTTTAATCTGATTATTTTCACTTAATAAATAACACAAGTAAATCATTTATTTTAAGAGCCGTAAAGATAAAATAAATATTAAATCAGTCAGTTGAGAAACTGGAGGTCGGGTTTTTAATAAATATCACATCTTCTCAGGGTAAATGACAGGCTGATAATCAACACAGAGTGTGATGCTGTTGTTCTGTAGCTCCTGTGACCCGGTTTTAAAGAAATTGCTTCTTAATTTGCCTCCTTGTGTCACTGACAGTCAGGCACCGAGCCACAGACTAATGGGTTTTTCCCATCAAAAAAAGATTGGTTTGGCAGACTAAAGCTCGACATTCACACACAAAAAATAAAAATAAAAATGAGCCTTTTGGTTATCATGGGAGAAAATAAATCAGTGCACAGGCTGCTTGACCTTTCCAGCTATTTGGTAAACTAGTAGAGGGCGTTGGTGTGTGCAAAAACAGAAGGTGACAGATATCAGAATGCCACATGTCACCAGCACTTGTGCCAGTGTGGCTGTGGGAGAAGCTCTGGGCAAGAGAATTAGAGAAAGACAAAGAAGGGGGAGAGGGTCAGAAATTAACCTCTCAAACACCAGAAGATTAAAAAAAGGAGTGTCATCACACCCACTCCTTTCACTTTGATTTCACAGTCTGACAGGGTTAACATTAAGCAGACCAGAGTCCAATCAAGTGGCAGGGATTCTCATTTAATTAATACCACAAGAAAGCAGAAATGTCTTGCTGCAAAATTATTCCAAAAAGGACTTTTAAACAATGGTTGGGGAACCGATCTGAGCCTCTCATTGTTTTTTTTTTCTTTTTCCTTAGAAGGTGACAGCCAATAGAGGAGGTGTGAGCCAATGAGATGCCCTGTCCAATTAACACCGCTGAGGTGTGTGCATTTTTCAGCATGACATCACCATCATACCAGGCTGTCTGAGAGTGGCTCTGACAGCCAGCATGACACGCGCCTCCAAAAAAACAAAGTTCAGTTTTGGTAGTAGCTGAACGTCAATGACGTACCAGAACACTGACGGGTAGAAATAAATTAAACTCTACAATAAGTTATATGAAATTAGTAGTAAAAAAAAGGAAAATACCGACTTTTAAATATCAATATAAATTGTGAGGCCGCACATTTGTGACTGCATTTGATGACAATATCAATGTAAATTGTGAGGCAGCACATTTGTGACTGCATTTGATGACAATCTTTAAAGTTGCACAATAATGAAAGACGGACAGAAAAAAAGAGAGAGAGAGTAAGAGAGAGAGAGAAATAAAAAGAGAGAGGACAAGAGGGCATTGCTTTCATTGGCTGCGTGGTAGCTTGACAAATGTAAGCATGAACCTCTAAAGCGCTGTGACAACCGCCTGCTGAGAGCACAGTCTCGCTAATGTGTCCTGGCATGCCGGCCCCGTAATCACACATTTACATATGCAATGACCTACATTTGCATGTCAGATCGCACACTGTCCGGCATGATTAACGGCGGGCACCTCCTCGTGCAGAGTCGCCCTGGGTGGCGGCAGAGGCTACGCGAGGGTTGAACAGAGGGCTGGAGGGAGGGCGACTTTTTTGGCAGCCAAGGGGCCGGGCTGCCAGGCAGGATTATGTCAGCCAGCAGCCCCGGCATTAGACACTTCATTAGAGCTAATCTGTTTAGCAGTGGGCAGTGTATGTAAACTTCACAGGCCATTTGCCGCACCTCTTCGCCCTCTGGCCAGGCCTTCGAAGGGCGGCCGGGTCGCGGCTGAGTGACAGGCCGTCTCATCTGCCACACATGGGTGTCACACAATCAGGGGCTCCCGGATGAAACACAAAGCCCAAGATCCACAGTAGGTCACAGACACTCAAGGAAGTGACCCTCAAAGACACTGGATCAATTCAGAACATAATGGAGACAGCTATACAGAAAAAAATATATATTTAGAACTTTTTCAAAAGTATGTGTTGTGTTTCAGATAGAGTTGAACGAGTAAAGTGTGGCATAAATGGACCAAGGACTGATTTAAGATTGGAGTCAAATATTCTTCTGAAGACACAAAGGTGTTAACAAAAGAATATAGGTCAGATTAGTCTGCAGTCACAGACCAAACCTTTACCCTTTGATGCTGGGTTAATGTAGCTCCTCAGGTCTAAATCATGACACTGCCACACTGAAGCTCCCAGTCAGACCTAAGCCCCGCCCTCATCAACAGGGGTGGAGCCAGATTACAAGGTTCTCTGAGAGTTTGCGGTGTCATAAATATAGCTATAGAAAGCAACAGGTGTGAGGTTTTTGACTTTTAGTGCCTTAAAATACACAGCAAATGTATTCGACTATGACCATGGCATAGCATAATAAAAAAAAATCACTTGCTGGTCAGAAATGGTATAACAACCAAAATATTATTTACATGTGGCTGATCGTCTTCAGGGTCTCAGGTATGGCTGATCCCTCCAGTCATTTTGTCCATTTTCTCTTCACCTTTTTGACAGATGTCTGTAGAGGTTCTGTGTAAGTACCAACCCAGGCCTGTAGTATTACTGATCTGGACCGTGTGCTGTCAACAAAGACTACTGTCCACAAAAGTAAAATATTTCCTTGAACGGCAATAAACACAATTAAAATAGAGTTTTTATTACAAAGACCAATGTGTGAATAAAATACCTGATTTTTTATTACAAAGACCAATGTGTGAATCTGTGTTTGTTAACACATCATTTATGACTAATTTCACTTTTTAAAGTATGATTTTTCTGACGTGAAGTTTCCACATCATTTTTTTTCACACCTAACTTTTCCTACTGCCATCATGTGGTGTTCCTACTCTTTTCACTCACATTAGGACAAGCTGCAGGGGATGGAAATTAAGTGGCAGCTATGCAAGGTATTATGGGTAAGGTCTTTAAGGGACAACATGTCTCGGGTATAAAGGTGACACACAACTGCCACGGGCAAGTAACCAGCAGAGGGAATTGAAAGAGAGAGAGAGAGAGAGAGAGAGAGAGAGAGAGAGAGGTGGGGAGGGCAGGAGAAGAGGGAGAGCGAGAGACAGCCAGAGCAGACAGACAGCTCATCATGAGAAGTGTGATACTGGCTGCCCGATAATGACACCCTTGCCAAACAGCTGACGAGACACACAGTGTGAGGAAAAGGGAATGCAGTAGACAGGGAGAAGGAAAGAGGGTGAGAGGAGGGAAGACAAGCAGCAGAGGGAAGAGGGTGTGATGTGACAGCCCAGCAGTGCCAACGGCTGCCACAGAAAGGCCAGCGGCGTCAGAGAAGTGCTGTCTCCCATGAAGAGAGACAGAAGGGAATGTAGAAGCACAGTGAGGAGGAACTTTAGGGTGCGTCCACACTGAGCCGGATTCAATTTTAAAACATCTTTCCATCCTGGCACGATGTCCACGCCGACCCAGCCTCTGACAGCTGAGGATCCGGGTGGAATGAAGCTGAACTCAGAGGCTATTTTTTTTGTTTTTTGTCATGAAAGAAGGAATTTGACTTGTTGTTGATGCATTGGTCAAAGGACTAGCACAGAAAATAAATGTTTTGTTTGTTAAAAGGTAAATAATCTTCCTTTCCAGTGGTATGTTACAACATGAAACATTGATTAACTTGAATGGTGTATTGTCACCAAATAGTTACTGTGTGGTCCAGCAGAGGGCACATTACGTGATGATACAACTGAGGTCCATTCTAAGACACATAGCAGAACAAAATCAATGTATCAATCATCATATCAATGTATGTGTAAAGATATATTGAGATATGTGAAAGATATGAAAAATCCAAATTGCGTTCGATGACTTGATTTGTTAGTCATTAAATAAAGGGACGATTAACGTAACTTTATGTAAAGATACGTTACACAATTGATTCAAGTGCTAGCATTTACACAGCTATTTGTGCTGCATATAGTCCAGCATTTTATTTGTCATATTTAGAGATGTTATTATATCACGATTAATCATAAATAATCAAGCTTCCCATGGTAAAACAGATTTATATGGTATTGTTTTGAAATCCCAAATTTTCAGTCTTCCGATTTCAAGACAAACAATGATAATGTGACCCTCGTTAAAATGAGTTTAATGTCACTACCTCACAGTTTTAATATATTTAGTAAGATCACTATGGAAGGGAGTCATTATGAGAGACAAGTAGAGATACAAGCAGCATTAAATACTGCAAAGGGTAAGAAGGGTGGCAATGCCCTTCTTCAGCAGTCACAACCCCCCTTCCCCCCCGCCCCCCAACCAGCCCCTCACAGAATAATGCAATATTCATCCTCAGATAGTCAGGCACTGAGCCAACCAGGCTTTTGGTTCCTCATCTCTTAATGTCTTCCACAACTGCAACGCCTTGGCCTCGGTGACATATCGGTGTCAGTCAAACTCTGCAGTGACAGTCTGATCTGAGAAAGACCTTCTCACCAATCCTCACATTCACTCAAAGAGCAAATGCACCATTAAAAATGCACACCTTTCCTGCTCATCTCCTATATCTAATGCATATGCATCATACCTCCAGGACCAAACCCTTCATCACATTACTAATTCAGATCTCTTTGGAGGGCTGCTGGGGTTTTTTTTTTTTCCCCATGCTGGCGAACAAGCTGAACCCTCTCAAAAGTGTGAAGCAGATGATGGACTTGTTGAAAGACACTCGTTGGGTCGCTGCTGCCATCTACATGTTCTAACTGGCTCTCCATCATTCACAGAATGGAAAATCATTCAAATGTTCTCTGTTATGAGTAAATCAATGGGATGCAACCGAAGAAAGTTTACTGTTCCAAGACCTTCAGCTGAAAAGTAGGCCTCGTATGAAAACTGATGTAAACTGCTAGAAATAGATGGGAAAACACAGTTGGAAAATCATTAGGCCTGAACAATAATATATATAATCAGCGGCTGGGAGATCAGCGGTGATTGTGTTTGTATGTGGCGGGGGGGGGGGGGGGTATGTGTGTTGCCTTAGTCAAATTAATCATTAGAGCTTTTATCTGACTTTCTTCTGTGCACAACCCAATTATCCTTAATTTTGCAATTACAAATCTTAGAATAAATTAACCCCCTTGGCAATTCCAGTGTTAATGCTGCAGTGCCCCCGCATGCACAAGAAAAACAACACAGTAAAGACCCTATTTTTAGTAATGCTTCCCTCTCCTAAAAAATACTCTGGGGCATTTGGATGATCCTCTTTGTTTAAAGTTTATTCAATAGTTATGGAGGTAAAAACATTCTAGTGGAAAAAAAAAAAAAAAAAAAAAAATCAATGAGCTTGATGTTGGAAGGCGGTATTAAAATCCGACAATGACCAGATCCGTACGGAGCAAACCTGTATTGAGCGGAGAAGGGCATGTAGGGAGGCCAGACTCTGCCATCCTCCACAGCTCTGATCAATAGAAACAACTCAACATTTATTCACGCTGTCGATCTCACACACGGGCTTCAGAGGTCTAAGGGATGTTTGGACTTTTTAGGCACATCTTGATTGACACAGGCAAGAGGCAGCAGAGATGCACTTTTAAAATGTGAAGAGGATGTGGTGTTGGAGCGTACGTGTTCATGGACTCCATATTAACATCAATGATTAAACACTGTTCTTTGCAGAGGAATCTATAAGGAAAGAATCTATTGCGTCTCTTATTGTTGCTTTAATGCAGACACACTCACTTGTAAGATTGTTTTTTTTTAAATACACCATAATGAGGCCTGTATTTGTATTAGGAGGTTCTTTATCAAAACCAACATACTGGATCAGTTCATATTAATAAGTCAAAACTGCAGCATACACCAGTCCACTACTGAATGCAACTTGACCACTAATCCCGACCAGACATAAATGGAACTCAGGTGTGAGGTCTCCAAGGTCTAACTGTGTAGAGCACCCCCTGTGGTTCCATGGTGTAATGGTTAGCACTCTGGACTTTGAATCCAGTGATCCGAGTTCAAATCTCGGTGGAACCTTATGAGAGGAAAAAAAACAACTTCCTTCGTTTTTTAAACTACAGTAATTGAATTCAAGCTTCCTCGAAGCTACTTAGGAACTGAGTGTGAGGATGGTCTAATGCTCTTTTAGCCATTTAGTGCATTGTTTTTGTAACATGAACTTGGTACAGGAAATGATGTGGTCAAATTACAGCTGTGGTTCCATGGTGTAATGGTTAGCACTCTGGACTTTGAATCCAGTGATCCGAGTTCAAATCTCGGTGGAACCTTTAAGGTTTGTGTGAGGAATATCGAGCTAATTCTTATTCGAATGGATCGTTACTATTGCGTTCCTAAAAAGGTCAAGAAGTCGATATTCTGGGTGGGCTACATTTGTGAAGATAATAAATAGAGATGAGCGTTGGTCTTACTGACAACACTTTGGTACGTTTTTCTTTTGTATGGGTAAAAAATAGGACATGTTTTCTAACTATACTTGACGAACCACAGTGGAAACAGGTTGGCACTTGTCACAAGTGCTGTTGGTGGCATTAGGAGATTGAAAAGCTAGATCTCAGACTTCTTCAGTACAACATGTAGAAGTGTATAAACTAAATACACACAAAACACCATCTAATCAAAATAAACTCATCACAAGATGTGCCACATGAATTGAAATCACGTGGCCAAATAATTTGCACATTGCACATAGGATAGAGTTTATCCTATGTGCAATGAAATTAAAGATATAGAACCAACTCTATACCAAAGGTTAGCAAATTTTAAGATTAAAAAAATAGATGTCGTGAGGATGTGTGTTTGTGTTAGTGTGTGGAGGGTTACCTGGGGTTGGAACACTGGCACGGCTGCTTGCTGACCTTGTGGCTGTGTATCCATATCCATGGTGTTAGGAACGTGATCCTTCACACCTCTAACAAAAAAAAACGAGTGGTCAATGAATAAAAAAATAGTAATTTGTTTATCTGACAAAATCCAAACGACGTAAATAAGAACTTGATTAAAATCAACCCGAGATCGTGTCTCTCCAGCGGCAGCCGAGTCTGTGAACTGAACTCGGAGTCTGGTTACGGCTTAACTGGATCCCACGTCATACCTGTGGATC